TTTTTTTTGAGAGCAACAATTTTTTTTTATAAAATCTAATCAAAAACTTTCAAGGTCGCGAATAAGAGTGACAATTTAGAAATACGTTCAGTTAATTTTCTTCGTTATGTTATTAACATCCTGTTCACCGTCGGTTACTCCTTTCTCTTCTTTAATTATTTTACTTCAAATTTTCTAGTATATCATTATTCAACAACAAAATGTCCTCATCGGTTGTAAACATTACTAGCACTAATTTAGATGCTATTAGTGCTCTCAAATACAGTCAAAATTTGTTTATTCAAGTTTGGTGTTTTACAATGTTTTCCTTTGGTACTGTTGGCCATATATTAAGCATTTATGTGTTTACACGTCGCTCTCTTTATTCAAATCCATGTGCAAAGTATTTTTTGGCGTCAGCAATAGCTGGTCTGATTGTTGTCTATACTCTTGTACCTCTGCGTCTTCTTCAATATGTATATAAGATTGATGCTTTTGCGAGTTCCGATGCAATGTGCAGAATTCTATCGTGGTTTGTCAATTGGATAAAGTAATAAACTTGTTTGTACAATATAAAAATGAATATATTCTCTGTATTATTTTAGGACTCTACCATCATGGTTTATTGTGCTTGCTTGTGCCGATCGGTTAGTATAACAATCGATTAACTAAGATAACTCGATATTCTAAACACAGTGATAGTTCTACCTTTCATCTTTCTACTTCAACTAAGAGTGAGGATATGGTTGTGTACATTTACCCATACTCACACCCTATTTTTTCAAAATCAATGATAGTTCAATCAGTCATTTTTTTACCGTATATTTCCATTACATTCGACTATTTTTTCAAAAATAGTTCGAGTTCAGTTAGATTAGTGACTTATTCAGTTCTCTAAAAATTTGGTAGGATGCGAAACCAAAAGTTCTTCATTTGCTTTCATTCAAAATGTAGTTAGTATTTTTAAAAGAATAGTCTATGTTGAACTTGATCAACAATATTAAATAGTCAGTTTAATGATTGACTTTAACTGAATTTATTATAAAACCAATTTATTTTGCATAGGGTTTTATGCAGTTCATCGTCTGCTACCATTCGCGCGTGGAGTAATATTCGCGTTGTTACACGTGCTACTCCACTGACGATTTTGATTGTTGGTCTCGCATACGTACATATTCCTTTCTATAGTCGACTGAACACAGCATCATCATGTGTCGGGACTTCAGGAACATACGCAACATTTGTTGGCATTTTTAATTCATTCATATTCAGTATGGGTCCACCTGTCTGTATGTTTACTTTTGGATTACTCACCATTCGGAATGTTCGTCGATCGGTGAAACGAATGGTACCTAATCATACTCCTACTCAAACTCAAAATCAATTGCAACACCGTCAAAAAGCAACAGATCGACAATTGATGCAAATGATGGTTGTTCAATCTATGTTTTTCATTTTGACAGGAACGCCCCTTTCCTTCTATTACTTTTACTCTTCAGCAATAAGTAATGAGGTTTTGAATACTCTTCAAACAGCCAGGCTCAACCTTGTTGCGTCTGTAACCGCCTTTCTAACCAATGGTGGTGCATGCATGAGTTTCTATGTATTCACATTATCAAGCCAGTTATTTCGCCATGAACTCATCCGTTTATTTAATTGTCATCGGCAAATAATGCAAGTAATCGGTGTGACGGGAAACAATCGAATACAACCAATTTAATCGATTCTGTTGTTACAAATAAACAACAAAGTATACCATTTATTCCTGCATAAATGTTGTTACGATGTGTTGTTGTCTCTTCTCAACTTCTCTATAAATATTGTTCTGTGCATATTATTAATGTCATTTATTCATAATTGTTAACTTTTAGTTCAGTCGATCATATTTCGACTAGTTTTCTATTTGTATTTTGCTGTTGTCGATTTTACTTTCATTTCAAAAATAAATATTTGAAATCGAACACACATTCTATCTTCTCTTTCTTCCACCAACTATCAATTAAGTTAACTAAACGAAGTGTTCACTATTTCTCAAAATAGTGATATATATCATGGACACTATTATTTACTCAACAATGATAGCTTTCGGGTGTTTGAAGATAGTGTTTTTGATGCAAATTTTAATGCTATCAATAAATACAAAATGGATTTGAAGATTGAACAATCTCAATAGTAGAATATCTTAAACGGCTCAAATGAAGGCTTGTTGCTTCTTTGGGGTGAACTATTTTATACATATTGGATAGCTCTTTCTTTGCTCTATCAAAATCCATAAAAAACATTTCTGATGCTTTTAGATGTAACAAGAAAATAAAAGAGTGGGGATGACCCAGTTTTGACCCTACAATATGTATATGTTAAGGGGTGAATGTAGGTGAGCGTGAGCATTGTATTGTAATCCCACACCCACACCCACCCCACCCACCCCTCACCCACACCCACACCCACACCCTAATAAATATAAAATGTGTCGATCATTTCGTTATTGGTCCGCATTTAATCTCAAAATATATTTCTCAATTATCCGAAAATAAAAATATTAAAAAAGTTTATGATATTTTATTAATAGCTGATGGTCCTGAGATTTATCTATATGCAGCATCGATGTTTGTTCCATTAGGAACACCAATTAGTTAGCATCATGTTGTACAAGAAACATTAAAATATCAATACTTACGAATTGGATATAGATGAATGAAATATTTACAAGATGAAACAAGCTTCTATATGGAATTGTTTTAAATCTGGATAAACAAGAACAAATTAAATTTACACAAAATGATAAAATTATTGTTCTAACTGAGAACTCGATGTCTTATGCTACATTTCAAGATAGTACACCGTAACAAAAAGAAAACAGTTGACATTCACTTTGGTATTCGAGAAATTAATTTCTGTATACCGCTCCAAAGTGAGATAAATTCTATTTTACTGTTTTTTTTGCTATTTGCTTTTCAATAAATAAGTAGATTTTTAGTTATAAAATAATTTTTAGACCAACAAACGTACACATACAGATAGTTATCACTAGATTTCAATACTTCTTGCAGATATCGGGCCTGAAAATGCTCTAAAAATAATAGAGGAGTTTTAAATAGTTTTTTCAGAAAATTATCTTCACTTTATATTTAGGTTGATTTGTACACGTCGTCAAGTGTTTATACGAGTGAACGAAGTGACAGTCTAATCACGCCTTTTGCATGCACCGATTAACTTAATTCACTTTCTCAGTCTATTTGAAACTTTATTATAAACGAACGTATATTATAAACACTTGAATACGTGTACAAATCAATCTAACTATAAAGAGAAAATAATTTTTTGAAAAACCATTTAAAACATCTTTTGTATCAGACTGAACCTTATTTTGGTATAAAATCATGAAGAGTCCTGTTGGTTTTTGACAGAGCCTACTTTAAGTCAGAACCTTTTTGTGGCCTCTGAATTTTACTAGCTCACCTCTTATCGTCCCTCTCTTTTTTTAAATTTACATTTTGACACTATGCTATCTGTGTAAATCGAATTTCAAAAACATTTAATACTGTTAACATTATTTTCTGGACACAAGGTTGATTTTATTTTATTATACTGAAATTTTTAGAATGATAAATTATATATCTCAGTTGTATTAAGAGTATATAGATCAATTCCACCAGAAACTAATACTCGTCCATCATTCAAAACCGACGCTGTATGAAACATTCGTTCATTATTTAAATCGTCGGTAACAGTCCACAGACCAGTTGATGGATTATATATCTCAACACTAGGTATACATTGAGCTTCGAATTCTTCTCCACCAGTAACTAATATTTTACCATCAAGTAGTACTGATGCTGTACGAAACATTCCCGGTACATTCATATTGCCAGTAAGTGTCCAATTACCTGTAGATGGATCATATAATTCAGTATTAACGAAGAGTCCCTGATCTCCGCTCACTCCAGCAAGAACTAATACTTTTCCATCATGTAATACGACTGCTGAATGATATGTTCGTGTATTTATTAATTTACCCGTAATAGTCCATTTACCTGTTGATGGATCATATAGTTCAGTACTGTCTATATATCCATCCTGAAAATTATATCCACCAGTAACTAATACTTTACCATCATGTAATAATGATGCTGTAAAAAAATTTCGAGGAAAATTCATACTACCAGTAACTGCCCAATTATTTGTTAATGGATCGTATAACTCAGCTGTTATTAAATATTCACCTTCGTCTATTATTCCACCACAGACTAACACTTTACCATCGTTTAAAACAGTTGCTGTATGCATCCACCGTCTATATTTCATATTATCAGTAGGAGTCCATTGATCTATTAATGGATCATATAATTCAGCAGTCTTTGGACTATCTCCACCTCCAGTAACAAATATTTTTCCATCATTCAATACAGATGTTGTATGGAATATTCTTGGATTCGTCATATTGCCAGTCATCGACCATGTACCTGTTGATGGATCATATAATTCAGCATTATTGAAAGTAACGGCCATATTGGTACCACCAATAACTAATACTCTGCCATTATTTAGAACAACTGCTGTATGTGCGTTACGTCCATGTATCATATTAGCAGCGTAACTCCATTCTAAAAGAAAATATTTATGAGATCGATTTATGAATATATATGTGACTTACTGCTCGCCAACGTATGTTCAATTATGATATAAAAGATGATAAAATTAACAAGAGTTCGCATCTTTCAATTATTTCTTGTGTTTTTTAAGACACGTATTGTATTGATATAGGAAGCATTTTTGAAGATTTTATATGAAAATTTTCTATAAGTTATCAGTCACCTGTAATACTTCCCATAGTTTTCATCAAGCTACTATTATACGAGACGAATGCATACATTGGAAGATCCTCTTAAATAAAATAATGAATCGATCAATATTAAAATTAAAATATCAGTGCTTACCATTTTATAACATTCTTCGATTATTCCACATATATATTGACTTACTTATCGTCTTTGTTTCTTTTTGACCTAGTTTTTCATTATTATGATATCTGTTCTATATCTTACCCATATAGAAAAATAGGTCAAAACTCTGATTTTAATCGATTTTAATCTGGATCATGATTATTTTAATCTGAATGAATAATAATATCGAACTATATCGAATCTGGAAGAGTGTGGCTGTGGGTGTGGGTATAGAACATCTTTAATCAATGACAAACCACCCATACCCACACCCTCAAGAAATACGTATTATGTTACTACTTTCAAGCAAAGCTAATGACAAGATATATAAAAAAGATTAAAATTACAAAATGTTCTGTGCATTTGTTTGATTAAATCGTAACGAGAATTTATTTTTTGAAAAAAATCGAAAGTTAATATGAAAATTAATTTGATATTATAAAATAAAATAAATGTTCTGTTATTGTATCGTAGTACTAATTCACTCGTATGCGAATATAGCCTTAAGACCAGCATTATTTTTGCATCTAAAAAAAGATCTTTAATAAGAAGAAAAAACAAATATTATTAATTACCCATCTACAAATTGTGTCTTGTTAATTTTTTCTGCTTTATCAACACCAAACAGACCAAAGAGATCGTGTGCCATCCCTTCTGGATCCGAATCCTCGGCGATCTCCGGTGACAGTAGTTTGGACTTAAAAATAGCAAGCATTAATATAAAATAAAAACAATATCGAAAACTTACAGATAAATCAAGAAACAATACCAACTCATCATAGCTTATTTGTCCATCACCTGATCGATCAATCCTAAAGATCAAAAAAACATATTGAGAATTATGTTATGCCTGATAAATTTGAGTGGATCTATTACTCACGATCGGAAAGAAAATTCCAGTTTGCTATCTCGATCAGTCTTGCTAACTAAAGCGGTAGCTAAAACAAATTCATTGAAGTCGACCGTGCCATCATGATTGCTGTCATATACGGAAAACACCGGGCTTAAACGAGCACAAGCATTACAATAAAATCTAAGAAAAGTTAACGATACACATACTCAACTAAGAAATTTTCATCGCTATCATCGACCACTTTTTTGAAAAGTTTGGTGAGTTGATTTTTGTTCAATTTACGTGATGGACATTCTTCTATGAATTCCTAAAGTAAAAGAAATGACACTTCAAAAAAGAAATCATTTGAGAATGTGTCGTTGATTACTTTATAGAGTCTTTGTATCTCTGAAAAAAAAAAGAATTGATATAGTGATCAATCTCAATTTGACTAACCTTCTTCGCTGAGCTTAGAAGCAGCCACGAGTACTTGCATCTCTAATAAATAAATTCTTTTTCATACAATGATTTTCATTAATGAGTAGAATATCAAACCTTTTTCAGGAAGTTGATTATCAGGCATAATTTTAATAACTGAATTTGTCACTACACAGACAAATGAAAATATCTAAAATATAAATCAAACTATTTCATAGACGTTATGTTTCTTTAATGAGTGTATGTCGACAACAAACTATTCGTATTAATACACGAAAAACAAGAGAAAATGAGAAAAATATTTTTGTGACGTTATAGACCATCATAAAGAAAAGAGAATAAAATAAATATTGATAATTGCTTATTTTTTTTGATAAGTACAGAAAATGAAATCATCCGTAAAAAATATAAATCTTTAATCAATTGTTTTATTGAATGATCAGTGAATTCAATTTTTTAACAGTCGATTATATAGAAAAGTCAGTGTAAAAATTGAAATAGTATTGAATGAATCATTTCTGTTCTAATTTTTTCTATACCTTCGACGTCTACAGTATTCTACACATGTATTTTATTTTTGTGACCTATTTCTTTTAACCTACATATTCTACGAGCAAGAAAGGTCACTCTTTGATATCTCCTATTGTTCAGTATTAAAAACAAAGAAGAAGAAGAAGCTTCTTGATTTCTTCTCTGGTCATTTTCTTTATCTGTTCTTATGCATAAATAACTCGTGGTTTCCAAATAAACATAAGATATTTCTCATTCACAAAATCGACGTGAATCTACTTCATGATATTTTTCATTCAAATAAACGCATTTTCTACCGCCAAATGCATATTTTTATACTGACTATTTTCGTTTTTTTACTGATTGTTTCAACTATTATATCGATCACTTAAATGGTAGCCTTTTTTTATACCTCCTGACGAGTATTCATATTGATCAAGATATCCACTATAACCGAGTCTGTCATTATAACAGTGTTATAGTGCCATTTAGGCATATCTTTTTTTTTCTTCTTCTCTTTCTTTCCTTTCTTGTACAGATGACATATATATGATACATATATATAGGATTTTTTTTTCGTTTTTTCGTCTACTTGTATTTTCAAACGTTCTCTTTTGAGAGTGTTCAAGTGTTTTTTTCCTGATCTGTTCAATATATCTGTTGGGGCGTTTTGGACATAAACAGTTATATTGTATCATTTCGATAAAATATGATCGATCTTTCGGATCCACCATTAATAAACCATTGCTGTTGATAATATTCTCATCCTTCAAATAAAGAAACGAAAAAGAAATACAGCTACGAATTATTGTTTTTATCAACGGTAAGAGAAAAATGATACATCATTCATAATCAATAACAAAGTGTTCGATAAAACTAAAGTGAGTAGTAGAAAAATATGATGAGAGATTATCTGCGATAGTGTAACCAAATAGTGCATTGTTCTGAAGACTGTTAGAGAATATTTTGCAATATTTTAATACTGGTAGTCCGAAGGTTAAAGTATAGCGAGATGCTCTTTTGGAATAATGATTTAATGGAATTTCTAATGAAGAAAAGAAAGCGATAATAAATGGATTGGTTAAATGAATAAAATCAATATAAGAATGTTGAAAGATTGATTTCGATATAGATGTAGTAGTGGTTTTAAGTGAAAAAGTAGCATCGAGAAGAAGATTTTAAAATCGTGTATTAAAATAAAAAATGTATTCATAAATATGATAATTATCAATTTATTCAAATAATTCACAGAGAACTTCATTCGGAAGATCTTCTAAATGAGTACTAAATAGAATAAAAGATAAAATGCATTATAATTTTATTTTTGATCATACACCTTACGGAGGAAGATCTATAATGTAAATTGTGACTTTTATCACCATCGCAGCTGTACATTATAATATTTGCCAATTATCCGTATTGGTTCATATTGAAATCAAAAATATACCTTTAAGATAGAATATAAACACCAGAGGATCACTAGCATAATTATAGACACTGTACACTGTCGTAAAATAACAACGTGTTTTTCTTTTTGAATAAAAAAAAGCCATGTGCGTCCAATATGAAAACAAATAAACAGTATGTATATGTGTATGATATGAGCTATACATGATAAAGTCACGGTAGAGTGAAAATGATGACTACGCAAAATATTCGGTAATAAGCTATTATATTAATACTCGTCTTTTATAGCCAATAGAATAAAAATGAAAGAGTGAAGAATAGATTTTTATACTGTCCATAATTCAATTGAAAATATTGAAATATTCGATTAAAATTAAAACTTGTAATTCGTACAGTTACATCGTTCGTTATAAACAAATAACTATTTGGATATAGATTCAAAGATGTAACATACTGATGTAAAATGTAAACTAAGATTGCCATGTCGTATTGGAGAACAGAGTACTGTATCTGGATTTATAAAACTATTTATGTATAAATACATTATATAAAATACGTTGATTTTCTTTTATATATGATCAATAATGATTGCTCACAAGTCATTCAATTAATAAAATCTGTAATATTTTAATTTGATAAGCACCTTTTCTTGAGGGTGTGGATGTGGGTATAGGTAGAGTTGGAGTGTGGATCCGTACACCCATACCCTCAAAAACGACATGTAGCAGTTATTTATATATATCCATTATAATGAAAGTATTTTATGTAGATACGTAACTTTGTGTCTATCCTTCATACCACGCTTTAATGATACAATTGTCATTCAAATCTTTTGATCGCTATTATATGTAATATATGATGTATACTTATCGTTGATACTTAAAAGTCTATTGAAATTTTTTCAAAACATGTTTCTTTAGAAGGTGCAAGCCATTACTTAACAAATTGTATTAATCTGCTATAGTACAAAAATATTTGTCATTAGAAATTCAAGCATAATTATAATTAGTTACATTTTCAAGGCATCTAAAATGATTAACAGATTATTGCTAAGAAATGACTGTTTTGATTCACTTATAATTAACGCCGAATGCTGATTGATTCACTGAAATAGATTATGTGTTAACTACATATTGATATATGCATATACAGCACTTTCTATTTCTTCTTCTTTCTGCGAAGCCCCATTCAATATCAGCTAAACTCATGTTTCTTTTTTTCTGTTTATCTCAGATTGGTTTATTTCACAACTATTATAATAATTAATGTTTGGTTTATGCTGAAGAATATTCTCTTAGACAATGAAAAGCATAAACAGCTCGCAAAGTTCCCTCATATGTATATGTATTATCTTATCAATTGGTTTAGTTAATTGTTATATTTTGATTACAAACAGAATCTTTCTCTCTATGCATACCGGACAACAGAAGAAAGAATTGAATGAAATTATCGAAGAAAGCATTCTTTTATTTATGAAACATGTTTTATAATTTTTTTTCTTACAAGTTCAAAATTTTCTTTCAAATTTTTAATATGCGGATGAGATGGAGATAATACAAGTCGCCATATTTTCAGAGCACGTTCATAATACAGAAGTGCTTTCGAGTATTCTCCCATGTTGTGATACACTCCACCGACGTTGTTGAAGGAAGTAGCTAAATCCGGATGATTTGAAGGAAGAGTCTTTTCTTGAATTTCGAGTGCTTGTTCATAAAACGAAAGTGCTTTCGAGTATTCTCTCATATTGCTGTACACCGCACCGATATTGTTGTACGAAGTTGCTACATCAGGATGACTTGAAGGAAGAGCTTTTTGCTGAATTTCCAGTCCTTTTTCATAGAATGAAAGTGCTTTTGGATACTCTTCGAAGTTGTGATATACTGCCCCAAGATTGTTGTAGGAAATAGCTAAATCAAGATGATTTAATGAAAGATTTTCTTCTCGAATTTTGAGTGCTCTTTCATAGAACGAAAGTGCTTTCGAGTACTCTCCCATCTTATGATGCACTCCACCGATATTGTTGCAGGAAGCAGCCATATCAGGATGATTTGAAGAAAGAGTGTCTTCTTGAATTTTAAGTGCTTTTTCATGAAATGAAAGTGCTTTCGAATACTCTCCGAAGTTGTTGTACACTACACCGATATTGTTGTAAGACGTAGCTAGATCAGGATGTTTTGAAGGAAGAGTCCTTTGTCGGATTTCGAGTGCTTTTTCATAATACGAAAGCGTTTTTGAGTACTCTCTGATGTTGTTGTACAATCCACCGATGTTGTTATAGGAAGTGGCTAAATCGGGATGATTTGAAGGAAGAGTCTTTTGTTGAATTTCGATTGCTTTTTCATAGGATGAGAGTGCTTTTGAGTACTCTCCCGTCTTATTATACATTCCACCGATGCTGTTGTAGGAAATAGCTAGATCAGGATGATTTGAAGGAAGAGTCCTTTGCCGAATTTCGATTGCGTTTTCATACATCGAAAGTGCTTTTGAGTACTCTCCGATGTTGTGATACACGTCACCGATGCTGTTATAAGAGGTAGTCAAATCAGGATGATTTTGAGGAAGGGTCTTTTGTTGAATTTCAATTGCTTTTTCATAGAAAGAAAGTGCTTTTGAATACTCTCCCATGTTGTTGTACACGCCACCGATGTTGTTGTAGGAAGTAGCTAAATCAGGATGATTTTCAGGGAGAGCTTTTTGTTGACTTTCCAGTGCTTTTTCATGATACGAAAGCGCTTTTGAGTGCTCTCCGATGTTATGGTACACTACACCGATGTTGTTGTAAGAAGTAGCTAAATCCGGATGATTTGAAGGAAGAGTCTTCTGTCGAATCTTAAGTCCTTGTGCGTAATACCAAATAGCCTTTTCATAATCGCCTTGATTGTAATGGACAGATCCCAGCTGATTATAATAAAGCGCTTTTTCACCCTCATCAGATGTCTGTTCGAGTAATACGTTATAAAGTTCTTCAGCTTTATTAAATGGACCGGTTTTAAGCAATAAGTTACCCAAGCTTTGCCATCCAGTACTACCACGAACTTCTTCTCGTATCCGATCAGTAAGTAATCGTAGTTGTTGGTCGTCATCCGAAGTTAATTGAAGTTCAACTTGATAAAGTTGATTATTATTCTCTGTTTGTTTAATTGCAACCACTCGAAAGACGGTGTGCATTGAGAAAAGAATTTCTTCTTCTTCCCTTAAAGAACTCACATCTTTGATGGAGGCAAATGGCACTGACTGAACGTGAGGATCAATAGACAGCACGCAAAGAATACCTACCGTGTCGGCATTTTCTGACGCAGAAAGTGCATAGCTGAGACCGATTTCTCGTTCCATAGTACCGGATAGAAACTTGTTGAAAGATATCAAACCACCTGTTTTTTGTTGGAGTTTTTCAAAATCTTTTTTGGGTAGACCCTGTCCATAATAAACTATGAATGGTTTACCATGATAGTTATGAATCTGTTGTTGGTGTAGTTGTAGAATTTGTTGATGAAGGTCATGGATAAAAAAACCCATATTAATAATGGCATCGCCTTCCATACAACGAAGAGCATAATTGACCATATAATAGATATTACATGGGAAAGTAAACCACCAAATGGCTAATTCAGCATGATATTCTTTCTCAAATCGATCAATAGTTTGTGGGTTCATACAGTCATTATTTCGACAATAAGCAATAAACTGTTTAATTGATCGTTCATCATATTCCATATCAAGGAGAATATCCTTGAATATCTTAGTGTACATAAATGTTGGATCCAATTGATTTAAATTATTCGTTGACGTCATGTTATTCATTGAGAAAGTTATTGTATTTTTGTCGATCCTTTGAAATAAACTTCAACTAATTAGTTTTGAAAATATTGTTGTGAATAGTAATAGACAAATCGATACAAACAAGTTTACTGACAAAGTTGACGACAGAACGAACAAAATAACAGCCAACAAACGTATTCTTTTTATAGTTATTCTTTTCAATTTTCTCTTGCTTTCATTTGCGCAATTACTGTAGTTTGTCAACATGCGAGCGACATTTTATCATGCAAATAATATAGATAACGAAATATGATTCATTCAGTGAATTTCTTTTTTCTTTCTCCTGCATTGTCTTAGCGTTTTATGACCGTGAAGAATTTATTTACAAAAAAATTGAAGAGAAAAGCTTTCGAACTTCGTATCAATGGAGGAAATCGCAATAAACATCTAATATATGTATTCTATAGACACGCCAAAAGTTTATTTCCAATAACAAAATAAGTATATTTATACTTTCGAGTTCATTCTACAGCGTGAGATAAACATCTATTTGAAATTCTATAGTAAATACTTATGTCTGAAATGTCGTGTTACGCGGAAAAAACCTATATATACATGATTAACTATACTTACAGTGGAGATTAATACTAGAATGTATTAAAGTTGTGTTTGTGTATGTAAAGAGCAAGCCACGTTGCGTATTTATATTCAATGAAGTTACTTGGATTTTTCCAAGCAGTATCTATGTACGTAAACCAATAAAACATGCTGCTATGTGCTCTGCACATGATACATTCTCTTCTCTCTCATGTTTGTTTTTTTCCATTTACGTTCTTCTCACTTATCTTTTCGCTCCTCTTCGATTCCTTTTCTTCTTGTATATTTTGTTGTTTTGAGTCAGAGAGGATGTGTTGTAATGTATGTATATACGACGTAGTCCTTTTACTGCGTCTTTTTTACTCTTTTCTTATTAATTATTTTTCAAATATGATTTAATATTTTAATTTGAATGATATTGTTCAAATACATCGCATTGTTTGTTTGTTAGTATATCTTATATTACAATTCTCTTCTGATACGTCTTGGATCTATAGATTGATATGTGTATATTCAAATGATATAATTGTTTTTCCTCACATTCTGAATATATTTTTTCATATCAATAGAAATTTAAAAGATAATAATATAAAATGGTACAGTTAATCATTTTGTGTTATACCACCCTTTTCTTACATATTTTTTATCAAAAAAGAAAACAAAAATTGAATTCATTGACGATTGATAATCAAATTATTATTCATGACGGATAAATATCGGACACGTAATAAGAAGTTATTTAGCTATCTAAAGTTTCTCGAGATGTCAATACTAAATTATATATTAATCAGTTAATTCTGACTATATTTAAATTAAGATATCAATAAAATCTCAACAAGACTATTCACTAAAAAAATATGTTGTCTGAACATTTAAGTCACTCTTTTAAGTACATTTCAATACTACGTTGATTTATTTTGATTGACAAATAAATACAATCAGTAAAGTAGGAAGAAGAACATTGATAATTATATGAACGAGAAATAACAGTAATTTTAGTTGACTACTAATCTGAATAGTTGTATCAGCTTCAATTTATGATCACATCGACATGATTGGGCACTTGTATCTCATTTAATAAATAAAAGATAATTATAATTATTACATTAAACAATACAATTGTTTGATTGATGAAACTTATATTAATATAAACATGAGATGACAATCGCAACGAATTCAAATACAATTGTAACTATTAAAGAAACAATATAGTGAGTCATTTAGCATCAAATGATGATCTAGAAATGTTCTTTTTCTATAAACAAGAACAAGAATGCAACTGGAATTAAAGATCATTCTTAAATTAACATTAGATTGTTTATATATAATCCATAGTATATGTATTTTTGTTGATCAAGATTCTAATGAATGATTATTTACAATCAATAAAGAAAGAAATATGTATGTTGAGGGAACAATCGTATTGCAGAATGCGTTTGAGTGCGATAGATTTACAGTTTTGATGAACCACATAATAAAAAACATTGGGCTCATATGAATTGATCACTGTAGCTGCTGAAGTCAACAAATTAATTGAGAAAAGTAAAAACATTTTGCTCGATGTGAAGCACATGCATTAGTAAATAAAAAATATATAGAGAAAGTCAAATAGAGCTCGATGGTGAACAAAATGAGTATGATAATTAATGAATATTGAAACAAAAAAATGTTTTGTTGAATACGTATCAGAGGTGTGCGGGTCACGGGTTTCGACCCGCGGGGGCCACGTGGCCACGTGGCGACGGGCGGGCGGGGATGGTTTTTTGAAAAATTTGCTCGGGTCGGGCGGGCTACGGGTATTGCGGACTAATCGGCGGGCTGGACGGGTACAAAAAAAAAATAAAATGATACGATCCTCGGGCGGGCGAGGATAATTTCCACGGGTTACGGGCGGGTAAAGAAATTTTTTGAGATATAATATAGGACCGTCGAGAATAATCGATAGATATGATTGACCGACAGTTACGCGCGGACATTTACGCGCATGACACTTACGCGCGCGACGGTTGAGCGTATAGACATTTGCGCGCGAATTGAGAAAAAGATGATAAAATATATTTTTTTTAAATTTCGTTTGAATTATGAACAGGCAGAAATATATGCTTAACTGCTGATGAAAAAATTGTTCTTAATTTCAAAAAACATATTGATATAAATTACTAACAGAGATAAGTAGTATTTACTTACAATAAACAAACAAATACGCTAAGTGAACAATAATTGAGAATAAAGAATGTACTCGTTCAAAAATTAAATACTGATCTGGCTATTTTAAAACAGTCATTCCTAGAAACAGTATGATATTCTTCGAACATGTTTCGTATTCGAAGATCAATTTTTTCATATTTTATGCGTTGGTCTTTGCCTTTGACTGATTTTATAAGAGACATTTATATCTTAGAAATTATTAAAATAATACGCACATATATATGTATACTTTCTCTTTATACTTTTATCTGATTTTTTTTTAGTTTTAATCTCATTTTGATACAAAAAGCAAGTTTGATATTAAAACTAGATAATCTTTTGATTCTCATTAATATCTTCTATGTATTTTCTTAATAAACCAGTCTCACTAACAGAACATTTTTATTTCTGTTAATACATATGAGTAATTTAATCAGACGAGAACAGCACGCAAAGATTTTTTTTGCGCGCAAGCGTCGTGCGCGTTTATGTCTTGAGCGCATACGTCGTGCGCGTAACTGACGTGTCACGATTTTTTCTTGTAATAAATATCTTTATATGATAAATAAATTAAATATACAAAATAAACAATTTATTAAAATTTCAATCATTAACTGAAATATCTTCGGGGTAATACGGGCGGGGCTAGGCCCGTCAGAAAATTGACGGGGCGGGCGGGCTAGAAAAAAAAAGTAGACTACACGGGAGGCGGGCGGTGCGGGTTTTAAAATTTGACGGGCGGACGAGGCGGGGAAGAGTTATAAGAATTTGCCCACGAAGACGGGCGGGACGGATTTAACACGTTACACGGGGCGGGGCCCGCGGGGCATCAAAAATCATTGCCCCGCACACCTCTGATACGTATCAATATAATATTTCTAATAATGTTGCAATTAAGATCAAAAGTTTTATTTTATTTTATTTTTTTATTCTTTTATAAAAAATACGATTTTATTAGTAAACAATATCCTTAGTAACTCAAAAAAATTAGTCAGTTCTTTTATTATTGACGTTAATGTTTCACATTGTTAAATCGTCGACGTGAATATTTGTGTTGATGATACGGTGTTGTCGTACTTGTCATGTTTTTTCTTGGAGTTGTTGTTGTTGTTGTTATCATCATCTTTGTAGTTGTTGTAGTAACTTTGTGTGCTGTTGTTGTTGTTCGTGTTGTTGTCTTTGTCGCGCTTGTTGTAGTAACCTTCTGTGCAGTTGTTGTAGTAGTCGGTCGTGCTGTTGTTGTTGTTGTAGTTTGTACCGGCTTTACAGTTGTAGTTGTATTTGTTGATGTAGCTGTTCCAAGAAAAAGAGAGGAGGCAACAGTTGGCGTCCAATCGTATGAAATTGATTTAGCAAAACCGACACGATTGTTGTTGATATCAAATATTGAATAAAACCAATAGAGAAAATAATCTCCTAAGATCCAGAAATCATTATCATCGGAATCTTCCATATCGTCCGGTACAAACACACTGTAGCATTCATAACGATTTGCACTGTCCTTCTGGATACTTATATATTGTAATGGTGTCAAAACAAAATCTGTACCACCAATCGTAAATGTAACATTGGGAAAAGATGAAAGTGTACGTGTTGTACAACTGACTGTATACTAAAAATGATAGGATTATTTTCAAAACAAACAATAATAAATAAAGTCATACCATTCCACTGGATGAATCAAGTTTACCACCCAAAGCAACATTCAATGCTTTAACTAGTTTGCTGGGTCCAATGATCAGTGTTGTACCAGTATCAGCAATAGCATATCCTGATAGAGTTATCGAAGTCGATCCAACAGTCACTCTATATAGAATAACATAGTTCGTATAAAAATATTTCTTAAAATTTTACTTTGTCATCTGAAATTCCCAATATCCTTGAAGAGCTACTGGAATATATGTAATTGAACCTGTATATTTCGTAGAATCTACATCACCAAATATGAGTTCACCACCAGTTGAAGCACTTGCATCACTGTAACAAAAGATTTAGATATTACATGCTGATTATTAATAAAAAGGTCAATACGTACGGATTTAAATAGAAAGAAAAGATAGGTTGCGAAATAAGACCTTGAGACCACATATTATAGAAAACTGGTTTTTCACCACCTGATGTCAAACTTGGATAGGCTAATCCAAGAATACCATCATTGACATTACCGTCCATACCCGACAAAGATGTACATTCAGCAAATGTTTGATTTCGAACTGCAATTCCATTGATCTAAATAAAAAAAACATATAAACTCATGCGAGTATAGTAATCTTGAATCTTACTGTCACAGTATCAATACTGAAAATTCCACTAGCTCCAGAACCATCACCATACGAAATTGAAAACGCATTTCCATTGGCAATATATGATGTCGATGCAGATGATGTATATTTTTTAAATTTACCTACGGGATCAAAACATTATTACCAATTTCAAATAAATATTGATAACTTACTGCAACTCGATGAACATTTACTTGATGGTACCCAGAGATCAGATGAACCTGTGTCAAAATCGATGAGAAAAGATTGACATGGTGTACCAATACAGATTGTTCCAATGAAATATACCTGTTGAAGAAATGTGTTAATAGATTTCAACTATGATAACAATTAATCACTTACATCAGCTTCATTGATAAGACTTTCAAAAGTAGATGATTTTATAACAGAAACTTTGCCAAAAGTATTTGAAGATCTGTCACATGTTGTTACATTGGTTGAAGAAACTGTGCAGTTCTCTGTTGTCGATGAAGTGGATTGAATTCGATTAACAGGAATTCTGCAAATTTGAAATTAATATTTTAATATAATTAATAAAAATATTTACTTTATTAATTCATTGTTAACAGTTTCATAGTATAAAACAATGAAAATAAGCATTTGAAACAACACGTTTGTCTCTTTTAGTTTCATTTTTTTTGGTCTGATTACTGATGTTTTGTAAAAAAATGCACTATAAAAAAGAAAAATATTCTGTTTATATATGAATGTATGAGTAGACAAATTATGATATTTTTTTCAAATGCGTTGGCTACCAATAAATCATCCATAACATTAATAATATTTGCTCGTTCTGTCAATGTACTTTTTCTTATGCGAGCTATTATGCGCTTTTAGAATATTCTTAATGCAGGTATGTTTACTCATTATCTATTACTCAGCTCATTCATTTACGTGGCGATGAATCATTGTAAATCGTTATGTATTGTGAATATGAAAAAAGTACATTCATGACGACCTAAGATTTATTTAACGTCAAAAAATGAAAGAAAAATAAGTGACATGTTTTTTTCTTGGAAAAGAAAAGAATCAAGTAGAAAATGTTCTTTTTTTTATGAAAATAATCACTGATGAGGGTAAGAGTGTCGATGTAAATACTATAATCTTCAATCGCTTCTTTGATAGAAACAATAGATATTGAATTAACTACCAGTATTCACTAGATTTATTTTTTTGAATTTTAAAATGGGAACAACAGATCCAACGAAAAGAAAATATTTTAATTGAATTCATGTAAATTAGAATAATTTATCATACGACCATTTCATTCTGTTCGAAAATATCTTATTACGTAATCATTATTATATGGTAGTACATCTCTGTATTTTATTGTGTATCGCTTCTTTGGTTTTGACTGCGTATAAACCGACAAATCTTATTAACCCTTTAAGGATAGATCTTTTTCATAAAAAGATGGAACTGTGTAGTCGAAATTAATTATATTCTGAAAGTTATTAATGATCATAATTATTGGTGTTAGATTTCATTTCAAAGATGCAGCTGATTTATTTTAAAATGAAAAAAAAGTGCAAGAAGATACAAAAAACTAAAAGTTCATCAATTTATGAAATTCTTCGAAACAACCAACTATGCAAAGGGTATGGATGTGGATGTGCATATGAAAATAATAAGACATCCACACCTTTTTCTCAATTTCTTTTTTTTCGATTTATCACTGGATGATATTTGTAACTTGAGTATTATTAATGCGTCACTATCTTCATCCAGATCAATATGGTTATCATTAGCATCAGTCATTTTTTTCTGCTAAGTAAAAATGTTACAGCTTATTATATTCTTAACCAATAACAAACAATAGACAGAAGATTGTGTACAATGAATTGAAAGATTTGCATGATTGGTAGAAAATACTTCAGAAAGAAAGATATTGGTAAGAAACGGCCTCAACAAGTGACATATATATATTAGCCGTTTTCAATAACTATTGGAAATTCAAAGTCACCAACTTATTAATTTCCATTATACAACAAAGACGACAAAAAAACAGTATGCATCACTAAGAATTCATCGAATATATATGGAATAATGATATATTAGAACTGAAATTGAGTTAAAAATGAAAAGCAGATAATATTTTGAAAAGCAAAAAAAATTGAAAAAGCAGCAAAGGTGACGACCTTGTTCGAAAGTTTAGTTGAAATTCTTAATATAGAGTGAAGATAAATGTTAGTTCAAATCGTGCAATGTTTTATAAGAGTAATATACTCAGTAGAGTAATAAAATATTAATGAATAAATAAAGGTTAATTCATCGATGAGTCTTAACAATGCAAGAGAACACCAACAGTGTTCGAACCACCGTTTGCAACAACAATATCGGGTTTGTTATCACTATTGACATCGACGACTGCTACTGAATACGGGTAATAGCCAACTGCGTAAGCAGTTTGAGCATTAAAGGTACCGTTACCTGCGTTGAGAAGGACACCAACGTTGTTCGAAACATAGTTTGCAACAATAATATCGAGTTTATTGTCGCCATTCACATCGACGACTGCTACTGATTGTGGTTGAGTACCAACTGAGTAACTAGTTTGAGCATTAAAGGTACCGTTGCCTACGTTGAGAAGGACACCAACGTTGCTCAAACCCTGGTTTGCAACAACAATATCGGATTTATTGTCGCTATTCACATCGACGACTGCTACTGAATATGGATTGTTACTAACTGCGTAAGTAGTTTGAGCATTAAAGGTTCCGTTACCTGCGTTAAAAAGAACCCCGACGGTGTTCATACCCTCGTTTGCAACAACAATATCGGGTTTATTGTCGCTATTAACATCGACGACTGCTGCTGAATATGGGCTACTACCAACTGAGTAAGTCGTCTGAGCATTAAAGGTGCCGTTACCTGCGTTGAGAAGGACACCAACATTGTTTGAACCATAGTTTGCAACAATAATATCGGGTTTATTGTCGCTATTCACATCGATGACTGCTACTGATTGTGGCTGAGTACCAACTGCGTAAGTAGTTTGATTATTAAAGGTGCCGTTGCCTGCGTTAAGAAGAACACTGACGGTACCCGAACCTCTGTTTGCAACAACAATATCGGATTTATTGTCGCTATTCACATCGACGACTGCTACTGAATATGGATTGCTACTAACTGCGTAAGTAGTTTGATTATTAAAGGTGCCGTTGCCTGTATTAAGAAGAACACCGACGGTGTTCGTACCCTCGTTTGCAACAATAATATCAGGTTTATTGTCGCTATTCACATCGACGACTGCTACTGATTGTGGAGTATTACCAACTGAGTAAGTAGTTTGATTAAGAAAAAAATTGCATCCTATTAAATACAAAAAGTTTGCTCTCATATCTGTATTAGCATATAAACAGTATTCAATCGTCGTGTTTTATGCAATCTTTTATAGTTTAACTTAACTGAACATAATTTATTCGAAAAGATCATGTCACTGAATTCTGGGATATTTCAGATATTCTAGAGCACAACTAAAGTCAGTTTTGAGCCATTATGTTCATCTCTATGTGAAATGCTCTCGCAAATCTGAAAAATCAATGAAGTCATCTCACTCTACTTAAAACTTGCGCTCCCTTTAATAAAGTTCCATGATATCCTCGACTAAGAAAATGCAGAATACTGTCCAAGCGCAGTTCAGAATTCTGTACATTTATCCAGAATTTCATTTCAACATATATACCATTCCTTTTTTAAAATTGCATTATGATATAGAATTCTACAAACAATATGATAATTCTTTGTCACATAAACCAATCATATGTCTACAAAATTCTAAATTCTACTTTTCAAGTATTTTACAATTACCTCTGCATTCACACCCAATTCTCCTTGAGAATAGTTCAACACAAATAAGTTACCTATTTGCGTCATTGAGAATCTGTTTTTCAGTGTTTCGTATAGGTATACACCCAGTTAAAAGCGGAGTCTACTAGATACTGTATCAATAAAAAAACTGACAGAACAGTTTTTATTTATTATAAGTTGTGTTCTTCAATACTTACTCTACAAATGGATGTACTTTTCAGATTCGACTACAGTTGTCTCGAGACTTTATTCATGTAAAGAAAGTCGGTGCCTTTATTGACTCTTTTTTATTTTGGAACTCACAAAGTTTTCAAGAAACAATAACTGCATTTGATAGACACCTCAGTGAGTAGAGTAAATATCGAAGAACACAAATCACAATTAATAAAACTCGTAGTGCTTAGTCTAGTTTACTGGCACCGCGTCTAATAGACTCTGATACAAGTCCGATTTTGACTCTATGGAGTCCCCTAATGATTGATCGAAAACCACCCCGAGGCAAAAAAATGAAGCGCGCAGGCGGACGAGACTATATGCTGGCTGGCGAGAATTAACAAAAAGAAAAGCAACAATAACGAGGCTTAGTTCTTGCTGCCAAAATCTTCGTTACACTACTATACTATAGTACTATTTTACTATTGACAGTTTTTTTCTAAAAAGGTAATCATTAGTGATACGTCTGAATCAACGCCAGTTTTTTAATGCCGTCTCTCGCAGCGGAGATCCCTACCATCAGCGCGATGATTATAATTTGTTACGTGTAGAAGTAATGCTCCTACAAGAGACAACTGAGCGAATCTCTAGGCAAGTGTTATTTGTTCAACGAAATGATAAATCTTTGAAAGATAAAATCTCAAACTTTTAAACTTGACTAGTAGAACAAATCATCGATTCGAAAATTGCAAAAAAAGTACAACACATTATCTAGCATATTACTAACCGATTGTTGTTGTTGCTGATGTTGTTGACGACGTGGATGATGAAGTGGTTGATGTTGTTGTTGACGATGTGGTTGATGAAGTAGCAGTTGTTGTTGTTG